TGTTTTTAATACTTACTAGGTGCGGGATGTGTGTGTGATCTTTCATAGTGGTACGCTTGTTATTTTGCTCTAATATGTTACCATAACATCGCTTCGGGACCAAATCAGTGAACCTGTTTTTTAAAGATGATGTCATTTGCAAATCACAACGAACAGCATTACATATTGTACTTTGGCACTTTTTTACCACAACAAATGTGTTGAGAAACACAATTGTTAAAGCAGCCAATTAAAAATAATGTTAAAAAATCAAGGTTCAAGAGCCCAACTAAAGCAAACACTGATCTCCATCATGGTAGTGTCCGAAAACAACATCTAAACCTCTGTTAATTTTCAATAAGCACTTCTGTACACATCTGACAGAAATAGCAATAAACAAAACTAACCCTACATATTGCTTTTGTTTATATATATCCATTATAGCGAGAGAACGCGGGTCACGGATTGATGACGTAAAACTCCGGACAAGTCTTCTTCTCCGTTTTTTGTCATGTCTTGACTGTCGTACAGTCTGACATTATGACAACTGAGATCCTACAGTGTGACATTGGGATCGTGTTCATATAGTGTGACAAGCAACAATCGCAAAGGACTATTAAAAATCGCACAGTGTGAGCCCGGCTTTAGGTAAGGGCAAAAATTCTCCAGAAACGGTTTTACATGTCCATTTACAACTCTAGGATTTGTCCTGGAATGAAATGGTCTGTTATTACCTTATTTGGAAGGGTCATGATTAATAATGTTGAGCTCTGCTCTGATTGGCTGTTTCACAGCGCAGCTAATTTCAGTAGCTCACACAGCAAACAGATATCCACACTTTGAGACGACACTGTCACCTGTACGCCTACCAGTTAAAAAATAGAATTAGTAAGGGGAATAATGGTAACCCATACAAGATTTCAATAACTGGGCACAAGCCATCTTCTCTGTCCATCAGCGCAGACGGATCCTGATGATTATGAATAGAACTGCAAATAGCAGCTGACTTACCCCGCTAAACTAGCTTACAATTAACAATAGTACACAATTAATTTGTCCTTATAACGCAGCACATACGCACTTAATGATAAGTAACATTACCTTTGCTTCGAAGGTGGGACCTGATTGTTTTCAAAGACAGTTGTGTTCCCTTAAATAAAACAATAGGACCATCTGTTTGGCAGCCTACAGCATTTGTATGCATGAGCTGTGATGTACTCTGAAATACAAACGTGCAAAATAATCATACTTCAGTTCTCAAACAAAAAATATTTTAACAAACTGACTAGATTCCTTGTCAAATGACAATAATTTCTACTTAAGTGGTGGAGAAGGTCACGTTAGCTAGAAGGAGCGAGTGAGCTATCTGTGATCAACCAAACTAACCTAGTTAGCTCCTGAGTAATGGGTTGTTGATGAAATATAGGCTAAATTATAATTCTACCCGACAAAAGGGATTGACATAGATGTATCTACAGTTGTATTTTGTAGATTTATATGACAACACAGGCAGGAAATAATATTAGCCTCCGCGTAAATAGGTCGTCATACTATTTAGTTATCTGGGTCATTCTACAGAAACGTCCACTTTTCTGTCCCTAGACTTTACAGAAATATTACAATTGAAATACACATTAGGGTTACAATATTTTTATATTTTAAAATGAAACAATATGTTATTTGAACAATTACACCTTCCTGAGCTATCAATGTGGCATTATTTTTTTTTATTAATTATATAGAATTCCAAGTACCACAAAACTGCTTGTCCCCACAGCCATGTACAGAGGGAAAGTGCTTTATTTTGAGGTCAAAAACAGGATTTTCTACCATTTAAAATACAAAAGTCTATTCATAACGATCAAATATATGATGTAAATGGCATAAAAAAACAAAATGCCAAATAATTATTATAAAATATATAATGAAAATAGTGGTCCAGAGGGAGAAACAAGCTAGGGTGAAATGAGTCAGAACTTTTTTTCAAGAAAATATTTTTGCTTTACAGACAACTACAACAAGGGAGGAGACAACATAGGAGAGATGCACAAAGGAAACAAAGGGAGAAAAAGAAACTGAAAGACAAGATCATCACTTGGAAACGAAGATATGAAAAGGTGAAGAAACGTAACATATGACTGCAGCGTGCAAATCTTCACAGCCCAGAAGTTATAAACAAAAATAATTATTCAAGGTCAGCGAGCCAACACCCAAGTCAGGAAAGCCCTGAAATATCACTTCGCTGTTTTGGGAGCACTGAAATACAAATACAAAAGTTTTAAAGACACAAAGTCAAAACAAAGTCTTGCGCAGCTGGTATCAGAGAAGCGGATCAAAAAATACAAATGCAAGACATACTGCAAGAAGCTCATCAGTTGTGATTCTCGAACCATCAGAAAAACAAAGCAAGTCCAAGAAACTAGCATACAGAAGGAGACTGTAAAATCTGTCAGACAATTTTTCCTCAGGGATGACGTCAGCAGACTGACTACAGGGAGGAAGAACAAACTAACTCTAAAGAAGGTTAAGAGACAGAGGAGACTACTGTCTGATTCTTTGCTCAACCTCCACAGGAAAGCACCAACATATTTCCTATGCTTTCTTCTGCCGTCAGAGACCATTTTGGGTGGTTCCACCAAATGAGAGAGACAGAGAGACGTGCCAGTATAAGACACACGAAAACTTGCAGTTCATGGCTGACAAATTATACAGACTTGGCATTTCAGACTCCAGAAACTTAGAGGAAATGTCCGACAGCACTGTCTGCAGCACCTCCAAGACATGTGCTTATGGTGATTGTTTGGACTGCAAATTTTCTGCCTATCCCCTAAACAGGTCTTCAAGCAGAGTAGTGACTCCAAGCCAGTGGTGCCAGGAGAAGGTGAACATCTCACTGCAAGGTGGAGAGACAAGAACAAGTACAATCACTGTCAAAAAATATATTCCAATACAGGAGGATGAGCTTGTGGCACAATTCCAGGACAGGCTCTTTAACATCAGGAGACCCATTTTTAAAGGGGTCATATGATGCGATTTCAAGTTTTCCTTTCTCTTTGGAGTGTTACAAGCTCTTGGTGCATAAAGAAGATCTGTAAAGTTGCAAAGACAATTTATGGATAAATATACATATAAACCGCTGTGCCGCCTATACATATACCCCTCCCCGCACCCAAAACGGGTTCGCGTGTGGATAAGAATCCAAAACAAGGACTGGTGGGAGGTTGTCCTGCTCCACTTCACAGTGGCCGAGTGAAAGGAGAGTTCTATAATGACAGGACACTCATTTATACAACCCTTTATTCAAAAGGAAGAGCCGTTCGTTCCGCGCGTCATACGTCATTACGCTATTTCTGCGTCATTGCACATGCGCAGTCCTTCCAGTTTCGGGGTTCAATCCGATCGAGTGTTTACATGCACTCTCAATCGTATTAGAAAAGGAATAAACCACCCCCTTCAATCCAATCGAATTTCATTCCGATCGAGCTCAATCCGATCGATTAAAGGGGCCATATGATGTTGCTAAAAATAACATTATTTTGTGTATTTGGTGAAGGGTAGTAATAAGAATCATCGTACACGCACAAATTTAAATGATTGTTGGGAATATAAAAAGAATGGAGGGAACAGTTTTGGTTGGAAGTATGAACAGTGGGTCAAGGATTGTGGTCTGGAGAATGAAGAAATCTGTCCCAACATGCCATTAAATGGGGTATCGGTATGGAATATTCCTGAACCCATTGTTGAAATGAGATTGTTGGAGGCCCGGGAAAAAGCAGAAGAAAGATATACTAATAGTTATGAAATCAATGTTTTTATGAGAGAAAATGTTTATTCTTTTATACAGATCTATACAGATGGGTCTAAAGACCCAATCAAACAAAAAGTGGGCATAGGAGTGTACATTCCAAGATTTAAGGCGAAAATAAGTTTAAGGTTAAGTGACAAATTGTCCGTATATTCTACAGAATTAATTGCTATAATAGTAGGATTGCCGTGGGCAGAACAGATTAAGCCAAATAGGACTCTGACTGTAATTTGCTCAGATTCTTCATCAGCTCTTAAAAGTATACTGTCGACAAAAACTGATAGAGAAGACCTGCTAGTAGAAATTTATACATTACTGTACAGACTGAAAATAGAGGGTATAATCGTATACTTTTGTTGGGTACCGGCACATATCGGGATAGTAGGAAATGAAACAGCGGATAAGTTAGCAAAAGAAGCTTTAAAGAAAAACTTGGTGGATGTTAAGGTACCTCTGGGAAGGAATGAGATAAAAACAGTAATTAATAGGGAAATAATAAGAATATGGCAACAAAGAAAATACCTGCACAGGTAGGTGGTATTATAATATTGTAAAATCAGTAGGGAAAAAGGAACAGTTTTATGGAAGACACAGAAAGGAAGAAGTAATGATTTCTAGATTAAGGATGGGTCACACAGGACTAAATTCAACACTTGCATTAATGGGGAAGCATGAAAATGGTATGTGTGATGAATGTGATGTTTTTGAAACAGTAGAGCATGTGCTCTTTAAATGTAGTAAATATGAAGATCAGCGTAACAGTCTTTTTAGCAATATAAGGAACAGACCAGTGAGTGTCAGTAACATTTGCCCACGTGTTTTGTGACATGAAGTGCGCTCATAACAGAACTGCTTTCTGATCACCAACAAACGCACATAACTAGGCTAAATCCACCAATACATACCATAGTAGTACTGTGGCATTCTTGGAAGTACATTGGAGTACTAGGTAAATACCATGGCCCATGCATTTTTGTACCATGAAATATATGAAAGTAACATGGTATGCATCTGATTTCATTGCCATACCCCAGTGCTCTTTTATAATTGGATGGTACTACAATGGTACACTTAGAAAAACCATGGTATTTCCACCCTTACAAAAAGTACTGGTCCTGTACAGTATATGGGACAGTGATGGTTTCAGATTTTCAGTACTAAAGTGGATGTACCATGGTATGCCATGGTGATATTATAGTATCACTATGTTTTTAATATATCAAAAAGGTCTTATGCTTTAAATATTGAGATCTCAGAGATGGTACATTGAAACAGCTATTTTTAGTGCTATTTTCAGATATGTTCAGAAATTACACATTGTTTTGTAAGTATATTAGTACAGTTTGCATCTCTTTTTCGGTTTTTGTTGCTCAGGCAAATTTAATAGTCATATGTCTGGCTGACCTCCTCTTGCAAATGTAAAACTCCGCCAGCACTGGATGACTGGTGTATATAGTAGTACACTACGGGGCAACCAGCTGGCAGTTGTGAGAAAAAACAAACAAAAAAAAGCCATTAGCCCAGCAAAAATAGATGGAAAGTGGCATTTCACTTTGTGGTATGTTTAAGTGGTGCTTTTACTGATTGTGGACTTTTAATGCTATTTAAACATTCTTGTGTTCACATATTTAGTTGGCTCAGCTAGCTTACATGTTTGGATTAATCGGAAGCCTGTTCTGTCTAGGCTGTAGAGATAAGCTTTCAGCGACGGGAAAAAAATGAATAATTTTTCCGTCCAGACTGTTTAAAAAAATCCATGATTAGATGCATTACAGCTGACTCATTACTGAACCTGGCATACTAAAAGCAAATGCTGGGAAGAGTGTCTGGTGCTGCCCTCTTTTTTAACCTTTTATACAGGTGCATCTCAATAAATTAGAATGTCGTGGAAAAGTTCATTTATTTCAGTAATTCAACTCAAATTGTGAAACTCGTGTATTAAATAAATTCAATGCACACAGACTGAAGTACACAATTAAAAGAACCAAAGACTTAAACTACTTCAGTCTGTGTGCATTGAATTTATTTAATACACGAGTTTCACAATTTGAGTTGAATTACTGAAATAAATGAACTTTTCCACGACATTCTAATTTATTGAGATGCACCTGTATTTAAGAACATTATTGATTTTTGATCTGATCAATAACTTACCATTTGCAATGGCTTGCGGTGTCTCAGAATCATGTTTGTCCTTAAAAATACCTCCAAATTAGACTGCTGTACTATACTGTTATGTGTGTTTGTTTGGGCTGTCAGTTGATTTAAATGAATGAATGAGTGAATGAAGGAATAAAATAAATGCCTATTAATTAGACAAATGATTGCATATATCAGTATTTGCTGGGAAGAGTCCCCAAATGAAGCCTTTTGGGAACTATGTTGGGACCCTAGATAAATATAGACTTAGGGGCCATTTTATGCTTGGGTTCAGGGGTGTAATTATTATTTTTATATTATTTGTATTATTATTATTATTTTTTTTTTTTTAATTGAAATTTAAGATGACAACACTATTTTTTGGCTCTTTAGAATCCTCAGACACGGAAGCAGATGGAGTCTCTGGTGCGAGAGGGCCATGTGGTGGAGCTGAGGAGGAGGTTGTGCTCCAGGATGACGTTTGGAACAGCTGGCTTGAGAGCGGAGATGGGTGCGGGGTTTGCTTGCATCAATGACCTAACTGTCATCCAGTTGTAAGATTATTGATGCCATTTGGCTGGATCAGAAGAAGGTCACAGTCTGAAAAAACAAGGAACTCTCACGAGAATCAACACCTGAACTCTGTCTCGCAAGCCTAAAGCAATACACCCAACTGAGAGAAACAAAAGCTCCACACCTTCACTCTTCCCCTCTCTCCCCTCATTTCCATCTGAACACAGGACACTGCAGAGATCACCAAAACCACCTTTCTTAATCAGAGTTTATTACAATGCAACAATTCATGTTTGAAGTCGTTTGAAAGGTCTCTGTATGTCTGGTAAAGGGGTCTCATTCTCTTAACAATAGAACAGGTAGCCATAAATATTGAAAACAGACTACTCCCAGGTCTTTCACACAAAATACCTTCTGTATGTAAATGAGGTACAGCCTCCCACAGAAATCAAGATAATTCACTTGAAACCCCCTAAAGAGATATGCTAAAACGCTGCAATAAACAGACAATGTGATGCATAAAAGGAAAGACAGCAACACGCAAGAATCCTTCTACCGTCGTTGGACCAGTGGGCGGACCTTACACAGTCCACACAGGTTAGTCCAGGTTAACAGTACACTCTAAAAAATTCTGGGTTAAATACAACCCAGCGTTGGGTAAAATATGGACAAACCCAGCTATTGGGTTGTTTTGACCCAGTGGTTGGGTTACTACCCAGAAGGTTGGGTTAAACATTTCACTCAACCGCTGGGTCAAAACAACCCAATTGCTGGGTTTGTCCATATTTCACCCAGTGCTGGGTTGTATTTAACCCAGCATTTTTTAGAGTGTATGTAGATGGAATCTCATTATTTGACCTTAAATTGAATGGCCTGTTTACACTAAGCGTGAAGTGAAACCACTCTGTTTGTATTATTTCAACAATAAAATGTCAAAATACAGCCCATCTGACAGTACAGATATCTATAATTCAATGATATAGTCATAGCAAGAATATATCACAGTATAATGGCGATTTCAATATCTCTTTAGTGTAGTCATGGATTTTACCATTGAATTACTGTTTAACAATAGTATATATTTATATGTATATCTCCGCGTTGATGGGCAGCAGAAAATAAGTAGGCCTAGTAATAGGTTATGTCTTTATTTTCCACATTAGTTTATCATCGTTGGTATGAAAATTAGGGAAAACAAAATGGCTAATTGTCCCAATAATTATAATACTTCATTATAATTAAGTAATTAACATAAGTACTTCTCAACAAAAACAGACAATGCTAATGAAGGACAGGTAATCAAGCACATAAGTGTCACTCATTCAGAAGAGGAGAATCCCCGATGTGAGCCAATTTGTAAGCCAAGTTAGAAAAGCTTCCACAGAAAGTGGAAACCCGCACTAGATGTGGGTCTGTGCCAGTTTGCAACGCTTTCTTGCCGCAAATGACTTCATCTCGTAACTGGCAAATGGAACATTGTCACTCACTAATTCTTTCGGGATGCCATGTCTGGCAAAGACTGATTTCATTTTTTGTATTACCGTGTGGGCTGTTTTGTCTGGTATGTTCAGTACCTCTGGATATTTTGTTAAATAGTCCACTAGCAATAGATAGGACTGACCTCTCAGCTCGAACTAATAAACACACTGTGAGACTGTGAGCTGTGAGCTGCTTCTTTTACTGCCTCTCGTTCATTTTACATCACACCAATACATTGCTTAGACTTGAGCAATCAACCGATGATCAGTATGACACACAAGTCAACTTAATCAAACACAGAGTGTCAAACCTAATCCACCACACACGCGTTGCCTGCACTTTGATCACAGTCCATCTCCTCTGTCATTTCTTTATCCTGTAAAAGCGTCTGACATTTATATTCAGACAATTACACACTGCTGTCCCTTCACAGTTCTTATTCTCATAAATTACTCGCACTGTATGTTGACTTTTAAACCTAAATTTAATGTTCAACAACAGATATTTCAGCACAATGAATGTTTTTGCGCTGAATATTGTCTCCCTCTCTACTGTGGTCCGTCTGTTTAATGCGCCTACCTGCCTGTGCCCGCCGCGCCGGCGCTCTTTCAGTAAAGATTTCAACTTAACGCAGACTGTCAGGGTGGGCCTTTATGCAAAAATGGAAAGGCTCGCGTGAATTTGTGTCATTTACAGATAAGGATATGACCGTTAACTGAAAGTTTTTTGCGCTGAGGACGCACACACGTATCTGTCAAAGTGTCTGACAGGGCAAGCCATTACGCTAATGCATCAGCTTGAAGCTTAAAATAAAGATTTCTCATGTTTTGGGCAGCTTTGATCACATACTTTTTCTGCAGGAGCTCATTCTGTTTCCTCCACTATTTTAAATGCATTTTGTCCATAGAAATGCGTTATTCAGTGCTGTAATTTGATGCGACCGGCTGAAGTTGGACGTGCACTGTGGGCAGACCCGACTAATCGATAATGAGAATCGCTGTCGATGATTTTCATTATCGATAATAATCGATTTTATCGATTATAATCGATAATGAGAATCGCTGTCGATGATTTTCATTATCGATAATAATCAATTTTATCGATTAGTTGTTGCAGCCCTACTGTGTTTATAATTTGACATATTTCATACCTAATGTACATCAACAAAATAGCATGTTCTTTCTTAAATAGGCCTGTTATTATAGGCTAGTATTTTATCTGGTGATTTGTACATACCAGAGTTTTAGAACTAGAAGATGGCTTATGTAACATAATGCCAATCCTATATAGTAAGTGACCAATTTTATTCAGTCTTTATCAGTTTTTAATTAAAGGTGTAGTTGCAAGACATGTCAATTCTGTCTTGCTCTCTTATCTTGAAACGTGTATGTTTTTTTTTTATATATAACAAAATAATTTTTATTTTTTTTTACTTTGTTAATGATTTATTAATCAAAATTATTATAAACACTATATAATGCTTAATGGAGCATTAGTTAATATATATTCAAAGAGTTAGAAACGTGTGATAATGTGCTCGTTAAAGGGATACTCCACCCCAAAATGAACATTTAGTCATTAATCACTTACCCTCATGTCGTTCCAAACCCCTAAAAGCTTCGTTCGTCTTCGGAACACAATTTAAGATATTTTGGATGAAAACCGGGAGGCTTGTGAATGTCCCATAGACTGCCAAGTAAATTACACTGTCAAGGTCCAGAAAAGTATGAAAGACATCGTCAGAATAATCCATCTGCCATCAGTGGTTCAATCTGAATTTTATGAAGCAACGAGAATACTTTTTGTACGCGAAGAAAACAAAAATAACGACTTCATTCGTCTCCTCTGTGTCTCTCCACATCACCGTAGTGCCATTTTGGAGAATATCCGCTGAACGCAAGCAGTGTACACTCTTCTGTGTCAGCTGCGCTGCACGGATGCGCTGTTTTCGTAAGTCGTTAGAAAACGCAAGTCGTTATTTTTGTTTTCTTCGCGTACAAAAAGTATTCTCGTCACTTCATAACGTTACGGTTGAACCACTGATGACAGATGGATTATTCTGACGATGCTTTTCATACTTTTCTGGACCTTGACAGTGTAATTTACTTGGCAGTCTATGGGACAGTCACAAGCCTCCCGGTTTTCATCCAAAATATCTTAAATTGTGTTCCCAAGACGAACGAAGCTTTTACAGGTTTGGAACGACATGGGGGTAAGTGATTAATGACAAAATTTTCATTTTGGGGTGGAGTATCCCTTTAAAAGCTATTTATTTCAGAGTGTTTAGAGAGCATTCAAAAGTACTGTTTCCATAATGTTTGCAAAATGATAAAAGGGAAAGTTCCCTTCATGTTTTCCTGTAATGTTCGCATAACCAATAAAGATTCATAGAACTTTGACAGAGAATGTTCACAGAACTTTGGCTAACATTCTAGCGAGAGTCTGTTAAAATTACGAACAAACTTCACTCCAGTAACGTTAATAAATCACTCAATCAAAGTTATCTGGTCTTATTATGTTGACAACACAAAAAACATTGGTTATACTAGGGCTGGGCGATATGGCCAAAACAATTATCACGATAATGTTTTTTTTCATATCAGTCGATATCGATAATTATCACGATAAATGTCAAATCTTTATTTCTTTCAGGTTTAAAGCCAGATTTTTGCTCCAAAGTGGAAATTGCAGAAACCAGACCATTAATTTTCCTTAACAAAATAAATATCTAAACAGAAATTTTTTTTTCTTTAGTTCTGCATGTTCTAATGAGTGATAGTTTCAAATCAAGAAACAGGCTTGGGTTGCCTGATAATATTAATAATAATAATAATATCACTTTTTTGTCTCTTAGAAATGCACATTTGATAGTAGCTTGAGTTAGGATGC